AATGTCGTCACGTGCTCTTACTCTTTACCGCGCGGCCCGACGTCTCGACCCGGACCAGAACCTAATATTTCTATGAATTAGCTGATTTGTACATACCAGGGTATTGCTAGGTTTTGATCGGTATTGCTCGGTAACGAGAAATATCATTTTGTCAAGACGAATACCTAGCAATACCGAGCAATACTAAGAATACCCTGGTTTTGCTAGGTATTGCTCGGTATTGGTCTTGACAGAGCGGTATTTCTCGCTATTGCCAAGCAATACCTAGCAATACCGAGCAATACATAGCAATACACGAAAATAGCAATACTGGTGTTCCATTCCGGGTCGGGTCGTTGGGCCGGGCAGTAAAAAGTAAGAGCACGTGGCGTCATTTTATTGGCGACCGGATGTAGAGCTACGTCAGGTGTCCGGACCTAATAAAAATGGGCATATGAGAACATTGCGACGGAGAAGCTAATTGCTAAGATATGATTCAATTTGGTTGATAGTTTTCAAATACTCAAATATATTGAAACATGTTTATCGTTATATTGTCAGTAATATAATTAAGGAATGGTACCCCAATAATCCTGAAATTTCATATTTTTTTATTATGTTTTTAGAAATATTTTTTGTGGACCTAGTTTTAATAGCTTATGATCTTTTGAAAAGATTAGTGTGTTGCTTATAATATTTTTGTTTCTTGTTGTTTGATTTATTAATTTCTCACTCTAGCTAAATTCCTTACAGCTCATCTTGTCTCTGGTAATGAGACGATAAACGAAACTATTTTAATGTATTCTAACCTTATATATATATATTAAAAGCTAATATTGGCTCCGATCATATTATCTTCTGTTGGTAAAAATGAAAAATTTTAAAATAGGATTCATTTGGGATAGTTTTTAGGCTTTTTTTTTCATTTTTCAGATCACAACCATAATTTCTACTTGACTTCTATGTCTTTGTTGATTAAAAAAAATATACTAGAATATTACTTTTTAAAATCATTTAAAAAGCTATTTTCTTTGCAACAATTTTACACATTGTTTTTAAAACCAATCAAGACTGGTAGGTTGGACCGATTATATTGTGAACTGGTTCAGTTGTCGGTCCAGAGAAGTTAAAAAATCAAATTTTTATTGAACTGGTGAGAAAAGGTTTGAACCGTCGGTTCAACAGATAAACTGTCCAACCGTCTACGATTTGGTTGAACCAGCTAGTTCAATAAATAATATTTTTCATTTAAATAAAATTTTTGCATTAAATTTTATTTAATTATTTTTAAATTTTTTTTTTAAATCATATGATTATGTAAAAAAATTTAAACCAAATAGACTGTTTACTTGGAATACAAAAGGGTGTAGGGGTTGTTTGGTTGTAGAAAAAAGAATTTCAATGTAAAAGAAATACATTATTTGTTTACTTTTTTGATTAAAAAAGATAGAGTATAAAGTAAAATGATAATGTATTAGAAATTCTTTTTGTAGTTTATTTTGCAAGTAAAATAAAACCGCTCATTTTGAGCGAAAAAGGAAATCACCCAGGCAAGAGAGAAGCACCCTGGAACCATCTTCGTTTCTTCCCTCATTCTTGTCGGTTAGACTTCAGTGCTTCGTGTGAGGTAGTATTCTGATAATGTTCCCTTTCGATTAGGTTCCCTTCAACCACATTCGGTGCTTCATGAGAGGGCCATTAGCTAGCTTCTTGGACACCCTTTGTTTCTATTCAACAACACTCCTTCGACGATATTCCCTTCTTGTTGGATCGGAAGGCACGACATCTTCGAATGACATTTGATTTCATTTTTGTTCGACTTCGCTGCTGTTTGATTATATTAGGAGGCATTCAGATTTTGCTTTTCATCTTATATATTTTATTGCTGTTGTTCGATGCATGGATGTTCGACTTTGCTATTTCTTCGATGATTTTGTTCCTTTTTTTTTGTGGCAACGTTCCTTTTTATCCAATCGGAAGTCACGACATTTTGATCGAAAACAAGATTCTAATTTTTGAGAGGAATCAACACCATTTTTTCCCTACGCTCTGTTGTTTCATTTTTTTTTTGTGCATGTGTATCTGTACAAAATTTGGAGAGGAGTAGATAGATTTACTTTACTTTGCATTCACCTAATAAAATAGAAAAAAATAATTCCCCCACATTCACTTTACAAACAATCAAATAGCATCAAGTAATTATTTTAAACAACCCAATAAAGTATTTCAAATGCTGGGATTTTGAAAATTTTGATGTTCAGTTGAAATATAAAATGGAGCAAAGTAAATGTAGTGTAAAATAAAGTAGTTCATTTTTTGTGTAAACAAAATTCCTCTGATTTTGAGTGAAATTTGTTTACAACACAAGTTTGCTTGATTGTCGCTCATTGTTGGCCACCGCCAGCTGCCGCCCTTCACCACCCACCACTCATCACTGTATCTATCGTCGTCAATCGCCGCTGTCACCCCGACTCCAGTAATCGCTCACCAGCCATCGCCACCCATCCCAGCCAGCCGACCACCTCCGTCGGATGCCTCCCTTCGCCGCCGCTTCCGACTGTCACTATTGAGGACTTTACTATACATTCATTATTTCAAACAAAAAATAATAATTTATATGTATTTATTCTATATTCATTCAAACAACTCCAAATTATTTGTTTTACATTATATTCCTTTTATATTGCATTTATTGTTTAGACAACCAAACATACCCTAATAAAGAGAGCAACTTAAAATTCACTTATGATGTGAGATTAAAAACTTGTGAGAATTCTGCATGAGCTTAAACTATTAAATTGTTTGGGATATAAATTGGGTTGAAAATACATATTGTTATATCATCAAAAAATTATCTGGATCGGTCACGAATCTCGAGGAAAAAATCAAGCCATAAACTTCAAAAATTAAATCTGAGATCACATGAACTCCGATTTTAGCAAACTTATAGTCAAACTGAGCATCTCGGAAATACGAACCCAACGACGCCAAATTTGACTCAATCCGAGCCCAAATGAGTCCAAATCAAGGACCCGAAGCGTTGATGGAAAGTTCGTACCACAATCCGTGTTACCAAACATTCTTCGAACTTGACGAGCTTATAGTCAAATCGAGCGACTCGACGAGACGAATCCAACGAACCCAAGATCGCCAAATTTTGAAGCCATTAAAACCTTCAAATATATGATAAACATTCCACAATCAAAGGATTCAACATCGTCCGTTCATCCGAACCACTCCATAATTGCCACTGATCTACATCCAGCTACTACTCCTTTCTCGGGGATACTCTAATCTCCTGGACAGTCAAGAAACAACACACGGTTTCCAGATCGTCCACTGAATCTGAATATAGGGCTCTAGCCGCAGTTGCAGCAGACATTCTATGGCTTCGTCAAATACTTTGTGACGCCCCAAGATCTAACTTGGAAAGAATTTCTATCATTTCATTAAAACCATTTACCAGAGCTATCTATAATTTCAAACAAACAATCTAGCAAAAATCTATAACATTTATAACATTAATGTCCAAGTCGATTCATATATCAAAAGATGATATACAATACTCAGGAACTACACTATGTCCACAAG